ATAATGATAATATGACTCAACTGTCACTACAAATATCAAATATGAACTGCCATCGACAATCCTGTAATATTATCTTTATAATTGTTTCTAGTGTTATACGATAAAATTAGATGCAGTATTGTACCAAATGCTGAAAATTCCATACTGCATAATTAGTGCTGTTTTGGAATAAAGTAGAAATTTTTGTTGTTATTATTATTAGTAGGAGTAGTAGCACTAGGAGTAATTTTTTCAGCCAGTACACTGTACTTTGCTGTAATACCGAAATGGTGAAAATTTATTTTCGACGCTCTTTTTATCATATGTCACTTTCTTATTCACTGCTCTTCGTTACAACTGAAACCTAAATCAGTGATAACACCTGATGAAATAATATATGTCGACTCGCTGGAGGATTTCATCATGAGCTGATTGATATCAGTTGGAGAACCGTTGGTAAAGCTGTGAATACTGGACAGCCGCCTCGCCCTAGTTTGGGACTCTTCATCGGTATGCACCCACCGGGATTCTAACTGATGTCAGCTCATGATGAAATCCTCCAACCAATCATACAAAAAGTCCCCTACAAAAAAATATTTGAAAATATATGTTGGCCTAAAATTGTTCTTGTCTAATTTGAATTTCTTCATTTGTATCTTTTAGTCATGAGTCACCTTTTCGGTTGAAAACCAGTCATTCATTCTTGTTATGATTCGTATGACCCTTTCGTAAGTTCGAAAATATTTAGTCCTATTACATTACGTCATATGAAGGTAGCATTACGTCACACGTGACACGAAAAACAGGTCAACTGCTTTAACTGAACTACGATTATTTAGTTGAAGTTTCCTAAAACTATGTCAAAAACTGAATGCAAAGTTTTGATAGGTCATTCATGTCGGGGTTGGTGATGAACTGCCCTTGTGGTTACTAGTAATCACATTTGAAATTAAACATTCAGAGTTGAGACTGGCGAGAATATGCGTGAATTGCGTTCACAAAACACACGGAAAGATTTTTGTGGAAATTTAAGTTTATGTTTCAAGTGGCCCAGAAAGAAAATTAACGGAAATTTAGAGGACTCAAGATCATTTAATAGATCATTCAGGAATAACAAGAGGACTACTAATGAAGACTGTAACTCGCTTGAAGGGAAGAGAGGAGAGTCAAAGAAGAATAAGCAGTAAGTGATTGATTTGATTCATTTCGTTATTTAATGTTCACTGGATGTTAATTCTTTTGGGTGTTATTTTTCAAAGTCTTGTGTTGTCTCCACATGGAAGTATTCTGTAGAACGCAGACTGCAGTGATACTCTTGTCATCGTATCTGAACTCAAACGATAGGGCGAAGCCATTGGATGAAGATAGATTCAGACAGTTAATCAATAATAATAATTCACTATAATGCATTTATAACTGTACAGGCTAGTGATAAAGTTATCGAAAAGAGTATACTTTGTTCAGTAACCATTCTTCTGAATACTTGAAAGGGCACTTTTAATTAGTCAATAATAATCTACTTTATTCGAAAAACAGTACTTATAATACAGAATGGATTTCTCAGCATTGGTAAGGAAACCACCACATTGACCGGTTTCTAACAGGCATTAGAAATCACGCGTAGAACCTATTAGGAGGAATCGCTTGAAACATTATTTGAATAAGGAATATTTCCAACTCCATAATCGTTCAGTATTCTGAGTTTTCGGTACTGTTCTGCATTTTCCATGCTAACAAATCTGAATGACTTCTTGTGAATGTGTTCTGGCGATACCTGAATATATAGACACAGAGAGAGAGATAGAAAAGTAAACTGACATTGTTGTGTCAGTCGAATTCATGCATAACAGTGAGATCGGTTGTATTGTATGGAAAACACTACAGTGACAAGCTCTGACGAAGGTCGTACCATCTTAAGTAAGAATAGGCTAGAGATGGTAAGTGTAGACGAGGAGTTCTGAGGTTGTTCACAGCCTTCCAAGTGACAAGCATATCATGAACAATGGGAAATTATTATTGTCTTCTGAGTTAATATTATTTTACCAGGTGTTGAATGAATACAGAGGAGACATGAGGACGGGAGAACTTTGAAATTTTGACAACCAATCTCACTCAATTCAGACTCTTCATTCTATCGATCTTGCCCACCCGATCGAACAAAAGTGGTAGATAATAGACGAATGATTGTCGTGGACAATAGTAAGAGAACAAATGGGTGAATGTTTGGTTATGTGACAGCAGTTCACCGATTTAAACCATTACTACACCCAATAATTTCCGATTTTAACCAGAATTTGTCCATTTTTGTCCGTCTGAGAATGATCAGGTGATCTTCCAACCACTCATCTTTCAACCTAGATAGTGATATCCATGTTACACGCCATAACCAAGTTCATCACAGTTGACTTATTATCTCAAAATATTTGTAGGAATTATCGTCATTAAGATAAGTATTTCTATGTGAGAGGTGAAGTGTATTGTCACTGAGATTCAATAAAAGCCTCCGGGATGTCCTTCTGCGATCACACGGCTGAAGAAATATATCATGGTGCATTTAATGATCGCTTCATATGTGAAAATCTGGAAGTCGCGTCATCGTCTAAAGGAATCTTAATGGCAATCTTCAATAGGTCGGTCTCTCCAACTGCTCTAAAATAACTCTGGTAAACTCTCAGCTATTCAAGATTTCCTATATTCTCAATGGATACTTTGTCCCAATTTCGATTTCCACTTGTAGATTTCGCGCTGACACAAGCATAACATTGAATGACGAGTGTCCTGATGGTAATAACAATGAGCTTTGGATATCCAGAAAATCACAGAACAGATTGTATAGAAGCATGTATATTCCGAAGGAAAGATCCAATCTTGTTCCAATTAGGCAAGCTTCACTCGGATGTCAGAGAGTATTGCCAATGATCAAGGTGAGAGAGTTATTGATATAAGGATATAAAACTTAGGCAAACTGGTGATTTCATTACGGATAAAACTTTATTTTGACAAAGTCACACAGTGTCATACACTAATATTTACTGATGACGTTTCGAGAACAATTTATTGCTCATGATCACATCAAGGCACTCACACAACGTTCTTGTTTCGTTCATACACATGAGTAAAAGTTGATTAGACATTTGAAGAAAACCAATATAAGACTTGAGTGAAACGGAGAGGAAGATAAAGTACATTCGGAAATAATATCAGTAAAATACAATAGGATGGGAAATAAGACGAGTGCTGTTAGTCAGTAAGATAGGAAATAAGATGTGTTTTTTTTTACAGTAAAAATAAGTAGCTTGTTAGAATGTTATAATGAGAATTGAATGCATTTTAACATTATTTATTATCCTCCTCTGGTTTGACTGGTAGTAATATCTTCCATATCTCTGGTATTTGCGTTGAGTCTCTTCTATTGCATGTGTTGGGTGTAGACTCGATGAAGCAGGATTCGGTAATCAATCTCTCTCTCCACCTACCTACCTATATCACCTTTTAGAATTTTGACTCTGTCCTACCCACCCTACTGTGTGGTTTTGTGTTAATGCATGCAGTGCTATTGCTGAGTTTTTTCTCTCAAATAGTTATCTTCGTGGAATCAATCATTCTAACCGTGGCTAAATTCTTATGTTCTGATAATCTGACTACTCCTGATCTACTAGTCTGACCTATGTAGTTGACCCAACTCATAGTCATTGCAAGGTTTTTTGTCACAGAATTGGTTGTATTGATAGCATTAGTAGTAGAAACAGAAGAAGTGTTAAAACAAGGGACTAAATTTGACAAGAAAGCGGCCCTTCAATCAGTGCCAAACACTGGTGTACATTCAAACGTGAAACGTTGAATAGAAAATCATATGTAAATATTCCGCCTGAATCAGTTAAACAAGAATTCAAGGCTGTCAGATCGTGTCATTATATAATATGCTTCCGGATAAATGAAGAAGTCCATGGGTATTGTTGTAAAACTTTTGTGATACCATTATGTTAACATTTACGTGTATGTACGTGAAATGTGTCTCCGGCTTCGATTCACTTCTGCATATATGAAATGTCATGTATTCTCCTGTCGTAGGTAGTATATTCGTTACCCATCCGAAATGTCGCAATATTTGTTTTCATTTGTCTTTGTGAGTCTGTATTTGTGGAGTGAACTGACTCTAACAAATAACTGCAACTCTCGTTCTTTTGGTCCAGATGCCACAGAATGATGGGAGGTTAAATAATTGTATTACTGTTTGTTACGATCTCGGCTCGATGCAGTCGCTGACCAGTTTTGCTGAACAACTAGGATCATCGATAAAATATTCGTAGTAAGTATTGTCAAGCCTCAATAAAGTCTGCTTATCAGTTTAGGTAATGAAATATTTCCGACCTAATTCGCTAACTCCAACTTGATATGTGATTATATTCATGAATATATATTCTGACAACTACACAGTGACTACAGTTTACTTACAGCGAAAGAATCCCATCCAGCTGCGACAAAAATACCTAATAATGACCTCGGTGATATCATATTCCTTTTATGCCTCATGTTTTGTATTCTGTGCAATCGGCAGTGTTGGTGTATCGTTTGGTCACTGAATGAAATGGACCGTCACTTGTAAAGAACAGCTATTGTTCAGTGCTTTCGATTAATAACAGCTAAGACCGACTTTTAAACTAAGTCTTATGGAATGTTCTTCATTGGTTCATCGGTGTGTCAGTTGTTCAGTCAGTAAGTCAGATAGCCAGCTACTTTTCAGTGATTATGATTTGGTGATGTGATTTAGATCTGATGGGGTGTCTAAGTAGGCTCGCAGACAGACTATGAAATAATAATATAATATGAATACGTGGTGCCGAAACACTGCATAGAAAATGTTGGCTTAGACGACGAGATACTGTTGGACGCCATCCAAATGGTGTTGCTGACATAGTTACGTGCGACCACCTTTCCTTATCATTCGTCTCTGACATCTCATGTAATTACAATGAAATATTGTCTACAATAATAAGACACTCCTGCTTTTTCTTTCATAGACATCAAAGTACGTCAATGATGCTTCATCGGAAACGTCAGCAGAATCACCACCGCAAACACCTGCTGCACCTCGACGCCATCCTACACCTCCACCCCATGCTCCAAAACGACCACCACTACCACCAATTTGTTTCCGAGTTCCACTACCGCCTTTTCCACAACCTCCACCACCACCACCATTCTTTCTATCGCCTTTATCCACGCGTTCCAACGATCAAGCCACACCAGCGCCTGGTGAGTTAACGTTCTAACTCATTTGTCAATGTACTTTACTTTGCTGTAGTACCAAAATGGTGAACACGTGTTCTTCATCTTCATATTATCATATGTTGTGTTTTACTCATAGCAGTCACATACTTCAGCTGAATGCAAGCGTGAGGACGGTAAACATCCATCAGCAGTGATCTGAAATGGAAAGAGTCACAGATATGCACCAACTGACCAGGGAGTACTGGACAGCTGTCTCGTCGTTGTTCCAGACTCTTCAGCAGTATGTGCCCATGGCCCCACCACGGATCGAACCAAAGACCTTTGGGTTACAAGATGAACTGGTATACCATGGAAACACTGGGACGTCACCTGACCTAGCAGACACAATTTACTGTGGACTCCTATCAATCAACTGATTGAAACGGAAAGCAGGCGTATAAACGAATTTCGTTGTTAAGTACAGAGCCAATGATAGTGATAAAGAGTGGCACATGCACTAGGTTTGTGCCCACCAGGGATTGCATACTCCTCAGTCTTGAATTCAGCATTTCACTGTATAGTGAATATGTAAGTTCAACCATTATAACGCGTTAAATAGAAACTAACTTTCGGAAAAAATCATGTGGTGAAGCTTGTAGAGTATTTCACCTACCGATTATGCACAGACAACTCCTATCTGGCTGATTATTTTTACGCCACCACCGGATTCGTGACGCCAACTACAAATCAAAAATTGATTTCTCTCAAAGTCAATTACCAACTAATCTTTGGTCACTTCCATAAAATACACTTCGCTATATTAATTCTCCTACCTCGCTACCATCTTTTCCTCTATTTGAACAGAGTTACCGATGCCATACAACATGAAACCAAAGGAGACATTCTCGACTGCATTCAGATTGAAGAAGGCTTGCGTATCTCTGGTAAGTGTTCAGTGACATGTGTATATGTCAGTGATTTTAATAATAATAATAATAATAATTGTTGTTGTTGTTGCTGTTATCACTATTATTATTATTATTATTATTATAATAAAAACACAAACCTCCACTGAGAGATGCTGCAGACAAAATTCCACAGACTGCGATACCCTCCAGATGCCCAGATGGAGGCAGGTGGTTGTTTTGCGACAACCCTATGGGTCTTTCATTTAAAGTATTATCCAGAATGCAGTGGGCCAGCGTCAGCAACAATGTTCCCATGATTGTGTTCCACTGACCACGTGTACGGCTGTAGTTGACCATTTTTCTGAATTTCTCATGTTTTAATGAACACTTACTTATATTCTAGTGAACCAGTAGTCTATTCCACTCTGGTTTACTTCTCTGGCGTATGCATTTACATTTTTCATCGATGAATAAAACTCTTTTTTAGCATGCACAAGATGATGTGAATGTGGACTTGACAAGGAGATTTGGAACTGTGAAAGTGCGTGACGTGCCTGTGGAACCTATCAGTCGAATGAGCCTATTGAAGAATAGAAATAGAAGTGTTCAGATGTCAGTGAGAGGTGGTAATACCAGATTCTCCGAGGTAAGTCCATCCATTGATGTTCATTTTTTCGCTTGCACAAATTCGGATATTATTGGCTAGGAGTGGTAATTACATGGCTTCTCCAGGAAATGTGCTTGACTAATTACTCAGACAAGTAGGTATTTTGAATCACTAGTGGGCAGTTAGGAGCGGATGGACATTATATCTCCGATCTACGGTATCTTTCAAAATAGGTGGGTTACTACAAATCTACTAATGTTTCTCAGTGGAGATAAGTCGGACAAACATGTGTTACAATCTCAGTGAATGTACCTGAAATGTTTCTCCGGCTTCGATTCACTTCTGCATATATGAAATGTCATGTTTTCTCCTGTCGTAGGTAGTATATTCGTTACCCGTCCGAAATGTCGCAATATTTGTTTTCAGTTATCTTTGTGAGTCTCAATTTTCGGAGACGAGCTTGAATTTTAACATTTTCACCTGAGTTCATGTCACACTATTCGCTTTCTACTGGTTTGCGCTTCACTTGTTATTTGTGACAGTGGAAGTGTTTTCTGTGATTAGGTTTCTGTAACACGTCGCATATTGCGTGTTTTTATTGTTTTACTTACTGCTGTGTTTGTGTATCACTCATCTCTCTACACGACACATATTTGCAGTGTGGTATTTGCAGCCTATTCGAATGAGGTACTCCTATTTTTATTTTTCTCAGATTTTCGAATACGATGAGTCATCATTCACTTCACAAGGATCATCTCCAACCTATGCTTCGGAATGTGAACCAGTGTCAAGTCGAATAAGCTGATCAATAAACAATGTTGAGGTCGACCGCTTCAGTCACATTAGTGCAATGTGAGTTGGCTATCTGATTCATTGGTCAATGTACTGACTGCACTTCACTGCAACACGAAATTCGTGAGCACTTATTTTCTATCCTACTTTTATCATATGCTACTTTCCATTCATTGTCTTTACACACTTTGCATCATTTAGATCCATGTATGTGAACAATAAATATTCATCAAGATTAGCCTGAAATACATTGTAGTGAGTGGTAGTTATGTACAAACCGATCTACTGAATACAATTCACTATGATATTTTCCCAAACAGTTGAAACTGAAAAGAAACGAACGAATGATTTTTGTAGTTGAACAAAAGGTAGCAATAGGGTTAATGATAATAATAATAATTTGCTTTATTCCAGAAACGGTACTAGTGGTACAGTATGGAATTTTCAGCAAATATCTACAATATTTGCATCTAATTTTATCAAACATTTAAAAGGAGTATTTCAAAAAACAAGTATAAAGACAACAACAGCAAAAAGTGAAACTTCATACAACTTGTTCCCTTGATAAATTTCCATAAAGAAAGGAAGACGAAATTTGCAGCATAAAATGATATCATTCTATTTCACCGGTTCTCATCAGCTGCAGACTACCTGAAATTACAATGGTTATATAAATGATAATAACATAATATCTCGTAGAGATTTCTAAGTCCTTCAAAATATTAAATAGACAAAGGACAGCAAATTTACTACGATTTGCCGAAGCGGTCGCAATCAAACGATTTAAACCAGACTTATGCATACAGAAAGAGAGTGTGATTAACCTCTCACTCCCTTGGTAACTGAATTTTGATTTTGATTACAATAATTAGTCATCTAATTCAGTGATCTCAACTCACTGAACAAATCTTAATCTCATAAACTGTAACCGCCTTTGTTTTTTAGAGTTGCTATGTGAACCTACAAGCTAACACTGTTTCTGTTAATCAATTTTTCTGTTTTCTGTCTTACCTCCTCCCCCCTCTTTTCAACTTTGGAAGTGTATAAATTGATGATGATAACTTAAACTAAAAATTGTAATGCTTTCATTCTTTTTTGGATGCGTCAAATTTATCTCTTCTCTACTACTACTCAAACATTAAAGTATGTTATTACCATTTATATAACCATTGTAATTTCAGGTAGTCTGCAGCTGATGAGAACCTGTGAAATAGAATGATATCATTTTATGCTGCAAATTTCGTCTTCCTTTCTTTATCGAAAAAATAAAACAACACAAAAATAATAAAAAAAATACGAAGAAGTAGAAAGGAAAATCAACTACATAAAATAATATCTCAGTATTGGGTAGTGGAAGCTATGATATGTTTGTGCATGGTGACAGTAAAGTTGTAGTCATACAAGAAGTTATGAAATGATATTTAAGAATGTTTATCGCCAAGATGATCAGTTAATTTGGTTGAAGCAACACTAAACAATGATAAAATAACATTTCAGGGTTGTTTTTTTATTGTCAGGTCTAATGCGGTGTTTGTAGTGGTAGTGTGAGTAATCCTACATAATACAAAATTTTAAGATGGTGATAATGGCGTCCACAACCAAGATTGTCAGTTAATATTGCCGAACAAAAAAAACAACAACCACAAAAACTAATAATTACATGATGGTTAAATGACAGGACAATTTTGTAATACTCATAGTGCTAATGTAGTCAGAACCAGTAGATACACGAAAGAAGGAATAGAGTAAAGTACAAAAAGGTAAGCCAATATTCATAATTTAGGTAGCTAAGTATGTTTAAGAAAGAGCGCACTACAGAATGCAAAATAAGAGAGAAATAAAAGAGCCTAAAATTATGTTATTAACAACAAAGCAAGTCATAGGTTGAAAGCGTGACACATCCGCTCGGTTTATGTCCAACAATAATTCTGTATCTCACCGAACCATGAAAAGTAGAGCAGTCGAATGTGACAACTAGACAGATCAATTCAGTGACACGACCCCATCCAAAATATTTTTGACATTCCTCAGAATCATAGAGCATTTCTAAGCCTACAAACACTACTTCCATTTATGAAGACAGGTTTATAGAAAAGAAAAGGAGTTCAGCAAAGTGTTACTCTTTTCGGCGATATCATTCTCAAGGTGTACAAACCTCAAATTTATAGTAATTTTTCTTGGCAACAAAAGGAATATTTCCAAAGATGTGTTAATGCAATTGTTAATTTTTGACAGTAAATTACGTAATTTAGAAGGCGTTAGTCGGTTAGAAACTAAAATAAAGTTACAAAAGTAGTTTGGGTGACGTAATCTATTTGATAGGGTTCAATGAAAAATGAATGAGAGTTAAGTTGATTATCTGAGTAGAATTCACTTAAAAATAAACGAAAATGGAGTTAGCAACAGTCGTCATGAGGGTAGAGATTTAATAGAGGGTGGGGGTAGAAAATAATGCAATTAAGAAACAGACAAACAAAGAAGAAAGAGGTAAGACAAAATTACGTATTTGGTGTTAAGATAGATCAAGACCATTGTAGATTTAGTGACTGAACAAACTTCTTTTGTATGCAGAGTTCAGGATTCAATGTGTGAATTGCCATTGCTTCTGCAGTTTGAAGAAGTTTAATTCGTACTCTTTTGGCAAGATTCGTACGTATTGTGTAGATAACTGAGAAGTTGTTTTTTGGGTTTGCTTGGTGTCCGGATTCGATCAAGTGTTCTAGGTTTATTGGCAACAGAATTTTCTAAATACCTTTTATGGGTTTCCAGTCATCACAGTTGTGTGTGTGTGTGTTTGGTGTAGATTAAATAAAGACTCCGTGATCTATTTTGTACTGATTATATTAGATTTTAGAGCTTACGCTTTATCTTATCATATCGAACGTCAGCCCACGAATTGGGGAAGCCGTAATTCTTCCTGATGATTGATGTTTTGAGGATCGCTTACTCTATATTTAGTGATTCTTTTGTGCTCAAATTTTCTGACTGACTCCGTCAGACTGCTTCAACCTTTATACCTTACCGCAAGATGATTATGCGGCATTTTATAGTCTGAATGATTTTGCCCTTCTGACGATTAATGCAGCTTCGTTTTCAGATAATTAATGAATATAAAGCTGCTTTAATTTCAGTTTCTTTAAGGAAACGATGAAATTCTTTGTTATCCTTTCATTTTACGGCAGCAACATAGAAGTTCTGGACTTCATCTTCCGGTCACTCAGTCTTTCATTTTCCCCCTATCAGATCTCATTAACACTTCAATGTATTCTGGCAGTTAATTACTGGGTAGTAATGCCTGTTTAACATGTTTTAATTTTGTGTTTAATTTTAATGAATCTCGCCTTAAGAGTATTAGATGAAGGAAAGTAACATCTAGGTATGTATCATAGTGCTTTTTTACTGTGCACAAGATGAGGCGATGAGATTTCTTTTTTTGTTCATTGGGACAAAACTGTGATAGTTTGTCAGCTGTTTATTCCATTTTGGCTTGCGGTAAATTGATCTTTGTAGGCTTCCATCTGATCGTCTTGTAAGTTGGACATCTAGGAAGGATAATTTACCTTTTGATTCCGCTTCAATTTTCAGTTCGACTGATTAGTGAGAGTTTTTGAAGATTTACAGGATTTTGTTGAGGTGAGTATTTTCATCGGTGATGAGAAATATATCATCTATATACAGATTGTACACTTCGAACTGTTTGATTTCTGGTAGGAGGAATATATGCCTCAAGGTACACCATGAAGCAATGGACCAAGTAGAGAATGCATTGCTACTTTATCCTTCTGGCCGTACATTTGACCATTGAATAAAAACTGAACATTTGTTGGGTGCATCTTAGGGTTAGTTCTTTGAAATGCCTAGTGGGTATGCCAAAATTTAGATTATTCGAGTCGATAGACTCACATAGGTAGCATACAGTTTCCGTTAAGGTGACATTGTTGAATAGAGAGACTGCGTCGAACGAAGCTACAGTTGACCCAGTTACATTTGCGAATTCACCAGTTCCAGGTGAAAATTCACGGGGGTTTCCAATGGAAACCCCTAATAGTAACATGACAATATTTGCTCAGCTTGATCCCATAAATGACAATGAAGAAAGCTAATGAGAAGAGCATGATGGTGTATACTGTGGATTGATATGAGTAGTCGGGAATCAGTCACGTTAATCAGTAGTGCCTACTAGCCAGATAGAATTGATCCAAACGCCGGACAACTTTTTCGTTCGTTTGGCGCCGAGCTCATCAGCGGCGTACCTAATAGACTGAACTCAGAGTCAAATCGGTTTAAAACACCCGAAATGGATTCTATATAGACTAATATAAAGAATTTATAACTGACTAAATTTGAGAGTGCAGTAATTTCTCACTAGGCTTTACAACTAGATAGTGAGCTTATTAATCCCCAAACATTTAATGCCAATTGGTCAGCAGAAATAAAGTTCGCATATATGCAAGCCGCTACTTACTATTGATTGACATGAGTAGTTGGACACCACTGGCAACAATCAGTAGTGATTGCTATTCAGATCGAGGTGATCTAAACACAGAACAAAGTCTCGCCTGTCCAGAGCCGAGGTCGTCAGCGATGTATCCTACTCAGATGAGAACCAAGTCAGTTAAAATCATCCGAATTCTAGCTAGCTACCTAGGCGAACTGGTAATAGATTGAACTGAATTCGCGATTTTCAGGTTGACTGCTATTTATGGCATCAAGCAGATCACATATTGTGATCTGAATAATCTCGACTACCTTAGGAAACTGGTGGAATTTCACCACGAAGTGTGTAAATGGCGAATCGGGAACTAACTTGCAAATTGCGATATTGATGGGATTAAAGTTCAGGTATATGCATTAGTGGATAATAATCAAGTTGATTGTGGTTATTATCACAAGGATAAGTTTATACAAGCGTCAATCATTGTGAATGTGTATATTTGTAGGGACGTGGGGGCAAAATATCTGTCTGGTAGCGATTAAGTAATGGAGTTCTTAGTTTCATGATGAAACGTACAATTGTAATACCACGTGACGATGATGAAAAGATACAGG